TATATATATATATATATATATATATATATATATATATATATATATATAGATAGATAGATATAGATAGATTTAAATTTAAAATAAAGAAGAAACTAGTTTGTTTTGAGGGTAAAAAAGCAAGAATTTAATGTTTAGAGTATAACCCCGAAAAAAGGATAAAAGTAAAAGTAATAATTAACACCTTAAGAGCATAATGTATAGCCTATATATATATATATATATATATATATATATATATATATATATATATAGATAGATAGATATAGATAGATTTAAATTTAAAATAAAGAAGAAACTAGTTTGTTTTGAGGGTAAAAAAGCAAGAATTTAATGTTTAGAGTATAACCCCGAAAAAAGGATAAAAGTAAAAGTAATAATTATATATATATATATATATATATAGATAGATAGATATAGATAGATTTAAATTTAAAATAAAGAAGAAACTAGTTTGTTTTGAGGGTAAAAAAGCAAGAATTTAATGTTTAGAGTATAACCCCGAAAAAAGGATAAAAGTAAAAGTAATAATTAACACCTTAAGAGCATAATGTATAGCCACAAGACTGCGAATTCTGCTAGCTTATACTGGATGTCTGAATCAATCAAGTGAGTCATTTAGCATGTGGAGGAAGTATGCAGTGTTTTAACTATTAACATTAACATTATATATGATGTAACCAACACATTTGTGGCCTAACTGATGCGTTTGCATAAAATTTACCATGCATGTTATTTTGAGCATAAATTGGCTGCTGGTACTTTGATCGACTGATATGTTGACTGCTATGGATAGTTATTGGTACTAATGGGTTCCAGTCGGATTGTTAGGGTCTACCTTAAACCAGTCTTTTCACTCAATATGCAAAATCCAATTGTCTATAACCAAAAGTACATGCTCTAAATAACTTTGTGTGAAAAGACGCATATTTGCTCATCTTTGGTGTCATCATGTTCTCATTCCGAAACTAATTGCATGTGCAAAAAAAGTTGGGAGTTTTATTGTAATATTTACAACTATTTCTTTACTTACAGCGTATGGAGAGGGCATTGTGTATCATTTTTTACAATTCTTTGTTTTACTTATATATGTTTAGGTCTATTACTTTTAATTTTTAGTTCAAGTATATGCTTGATCTTTCTATAAAAGTCTCATAAATATCTTTGCATCATCTTGGTCAAGCTTAACACAATGGTTCTCTCTTTATGGTTGTTCCTGATTTTTACAATTCTAAGCAAATAGTAACCACGCAAACTTCTATGAGCCATAATGGGTATTTAGAGACCTTAAATAGTCTGGATGCTCCGCTTGCCCTATCAGACAGCCTATCTCCAAAGAACTCACAGCTGGAACCATCAAGTACCAGTACTACAGTCACTGATCATATTGATGTAACCAACATTTTCTCCACAACCTTGTCAAGTACAAAATACTAAGAAGAGACTTGAAGAATTTGCAGCATATAACATATACCAGACAGTATTTGGCTACAAATTGGAACAGTTATGAGTCCAATCATCACCCTATCTAATTACCTTAAAGGCCTTTTGAATTGAGAAGCAATGTAACCAAGTCACAAGTTAAAGCACAGAAGATACATAAAAATTATGTTTATAATTTATATTAAAAAACCCTAGAATGACTAATAGAAATAATAAAATAATAAAATGACAGATGAAATGGAAGGCAATTCAAAATAATGAGGAAAAGAAGACAACACAAACCTGGCCAGCCTCCACAAATAAGTATAACAGGACAAAGGAAAAGAAATGAGTATGGCTATTTGGATAGCGCAATTGATTGGCAACAGCATTCAGAAAGAGGTAGCGACCTTCAGAATCCAAGTTCTTAATCAAACTCTGAAATATGTCGATAGCAGCACCCACTAGATATATGTCCATGGGAGAGTTATGTATCATTTGCTGTGTCAGTGCATGCTGAGAAGCAGACCTGCTCTGCAGTTGTTGAATAGCCTACACATACAAGTCACATTTGTACTACTTAAAAAAATTAAAAACTGTTTAGACATTTAATTAACGAACTATTTGTCAAATAAAGATTATAACTGAACTGTCACCCGAGTAATAAACGAACTATTTGTCAATAATTTCGTTTGTTTCCACCCATACCAATGGCGGTGTCAGACATGCCAGATTTTGGCTGAAACCGGAAGTGTTATGCATATCAAAGTAGAAAAAGCAGTGTTATTTTCCCCATGCAATGGTCTAAGGAAAACCGCAATACTTAAAAGGGATAGGTTTTGTGCTACAAAATCATAAAGGGGCTGTTAAATGCTTTAGTGTATATAACACCGAATGGTATAAATGATAACATCACTTGATGATCCACGATAAAAATTTTAATTCTTAGATAAACTTCTTATCTGTAAATAAACAATGTCTAATAATTACAAAGAGTATTATGATTTACAATAGGTTTTATAAAAGAAACATGTATCTAATATAACAAAAAAACTGTGCACGAGCGCATGGGCATGCGCCCGCGTGCGCACGTGTGCTTGTGCTCGTATGTGTGTGCGCGTGTGTGTGGGTGTGTGCAAGAGCACGTGTATGTGCATGGGTGTGTGTATGGGTGTGCGTGCGTGTGTGGGTGTGGGTGATTAAAGATACATATGATAAGAGTAATAATCAAAGTAAGAACTAAGGAATAAGAGACTAAGGCATTTCCTATTACCATAACATCAAGGGTCAATCTTAAGCCCTTATCTTTTTACTTTAGTTATGGACCAACTTATAGACACATTCAGGATGTAGTGTGATGGTATATGTTATTTGTTGATGTTATAGTTAACAAGACTAGTTAAGGTATAATTTCCATAGGTTTACATCAAAAGTCAGTCTTAAGCCCTTATCTTTTTACTTTAGTTATATACTAATTTATAGACATTCAGGATGAAATGTAATGGTATATATTGTTTGCTAATATTATAGTATTAGTTAACGAGACTAGTTAATATATAATTTCTAAAGTAGAAAGATGGATACAAGCTTTTGAAACTAAAGTTTTTAGAATTAGTAAGGAGAAAAAAATAGAATACATGGAATGCATTTTTAGTAAACCTAAAAAGAGAAAAGAGTCTATAGTGCATATTGATGATTAAGAAATATCTAAAAGTAATCACTTTTGTTGTTTAGGAGCAATCATTTGGCATGATAGTAAGATTGAGGATGATGTTGTCAATCAAATCAAATTAGGATGCTTAAAATGGTGGATTGCCTCGAGAGTCTTGTGTGATCATAGAATACCTAGAGACTAAAGGAAAATTTCAATATGACGGTTATAAGACCAACAATGCTTTATGGATTAGAATGTTGGGTAATTTAAAAAAGTACAAAAAATGTGTAGCATAAATGAAAAGGTTGGGAGGGTCTTGTGGGTATACACTAAAAGATGGGATAAGAAACGAGCGCATTCATAATAAATTAAAGGTTGCTCCTATTGAGGATAAAATGACAGAATTAATTAAGGTGGTTTGGTTATCATGTACAACGGAGGCCTCTTGGTGTACCAGTTAGAAACAGTAATAATATTATAGTTAATGGAGAAAAGAAATCTAGAAGTGGATATAAAAGAACTTGGCTGGAAGCAGTTAAAAAGGATATGATTAGGGTTAACCTAATGGAGGGGGTGACCCATAACAGAACGGAATGGAAGAATACGACTCCTATAGCTAACACCAAACATTTAGGATAAAGGCTTTATTATTGTTGTTATTATGATTTACAATCATAATAGTGACTTTCAGGTGGTGCATGTAGAAGTATACCTGCTTTGAAATTTGTCTATACTTGAGCCAGCTTTTGATATCCATACCACGGTTTTTAGTTTAAATTGTTCAGTTTTCTAAATCCTAACAAAGCATGTATATTTATGTTCCTTCTCTCCGTATAGCTAGTAAAACCAAGGAAGGATAAGAAACGGCAGAAAGATGCATTGATAATCTTTTTTCTATGTTTCACTTGTAAAATGAGATAGAACTTCTGCAGGAATCGTTGTCCATTTCAGGTTTATTGCAACAACTATAAGATAAGCCTTGCTTTGAGCAAACCTTCATTCGAAGTGCCGTTGTGCTGGAGACTGGTTATTAAGATAAGAATCTATCTTAAAACCCAGCACGACAAACTTTTAAGAGCCTGGTCTTTTTTAGTGGAACTCCTGATACCCAGTTATGCGAGAAAAAAAAATTACAATACCTTTCAAGAAGAGGTACTATTGCTTATAAACATATACGTGATGAAATCACTACATGCCGTTTATAATTTTTCTCCCCTAAGCAATTCATTAAAGTGGATATCCCTAAAGCTTAATATCATAATTTACACAAATAAAAGGGATTAAAATAAAATAAAATAAAATAAAAAGATTTGTGACCTAGTAAGGAGCAAACCAAGTGAAAAAGACAAGTTACCTGCATTCCTACATAAAGAACAAGCGAATTGATCAGTGGTACATTGTAGCGTGTTCCTGCTAGATTAGCTTCATTTAAAGGTAAAAACAATCTCTGCTTCAGTTCAGATAAAAAAGTAGATCCTTCTGGCCTTGTCTGCAGGACAAGAAATGTGTTATTAAGACTACTACTTCGAATAGGAGACAACAAATTTTTTATGATATATTAAACCAGAACTGTGAACAAGGTACACATGCTAAATATCACAAAAAAAATCAAGAGAATTGGCATTCAATTGTATAATGCCAATTCTACAACAGTCTTGACATACAACGTGCAATGACAAATAGCTGATATTATATTACCTGTAGATACTCATCTATGTCAGCCTTAATCTGCTTTGCTTTCAGAGCACCATCAACATCAGATAGAATACGGGGGGCCTGACTGATTTCAGCTAGAAGATCGATCTATATAAGAGAGTTTCAAATGTTAATGACAGAATTTTGATTACATAATGTAATGATGTCATCTACTGGAAGCTCCAACATGATGAACATTCAGCAGGCACCTTTAAGTTAGGAGTAGATGGATCAGGAAGCCTCATATTGCGTGGAAAAGCACTTAGAATAAGATTCCGCATCTGAATGCAACTAGGAGGAATCACATCGCAGAAGCTGAAGTGATAATCACACAGAAATTCTGGAAAATCATGAAGCAATACAAGCAACACCCTTAATGTGCCCTTGTACAAAAAGTGAACCTGAGAAAAAGTTGAACGGGAGAAGTTTAATTGTCTACCAAATGAATCCATTTGTAAGAGGTAAAAAACAGTAATGAAGAGAGCAGCTGACCGGCTCTCCTAGCTCAGCATTTCTCAAGTAAGGCTCCATGAACTTGAATAAATCCACGAGCAAGCGCTGGAAAACTGGCCAACCATTTGGGGCAGTGGTAGTGAGAAGTTTTGGCATGAAAGTTCTGTGGCTAACCAACTCAAGCCATGCAAAGCTGAGAGAAAATCCATTAAATTAGAGATTGCACAAAAAACTGAAAAAGAAGAAACAAGTTGACTTGTGACTCTAATTTATCAGCTACAGCATGTAAGCAAGACTCTAAGGGCTCGTTTGGATGGGCGTAAGTATTAGAAGTAAGAAGTGGATCAAAGATGTAACTTCCTCAATTATGAAGTAGAAAGTAGCAGAAGTAGTACTTATTTTGTTTGTTTCATATATTTTTAGAAGTAGAGGAAATAGTACTATCTTCTTTTAATTGTTTGTTTGGATAGAAATTGGATATATTATTAGGAAGTAACTAATACACGTAGCTTTCATACTATTCTTGTTTGGATTATAATTGTAGAGGATGTAATTGATATGTATACCATGGTATAATTACTTCCCTTTCTCGCTATTAACTGAAAAATTAACCATCCAAGTCATCAATTGATACATGAATCTCATTATACTTGAAGATACAAACAAACAATTATTATACATTTGATTTGGACGGTCTTTTCTCAAGATTTTCATTCATGAGAAGTCATTAAGAGGTATGCGAATGTGTTCCAAAACTCAAAGAACCACCGCCTCATCAATGCTATGCAAAACAAATCGATTTTAGCCGCCACCTCACCGATACATGTATAAAAAACTAATATCAATTTTAACTCCAAATAAAAATCATGTACGCACATGATGATTCATATTAAAAGATTCTAGCAGCAAGACACAAAAATGAAGCCTTTGTGAGAGAGATGGCGTGTGGGAATATTGCTTTGATATTTGATTACTTTTAGTAAATCTCTAATTTAAGTGGACCACACTTTTTATTCACTTTCCCTCTACTTCTGAGCTTTCAAGGGAGGAAAAAATCTAGGAAGTAGGAGTGACACCTAGACGCCACATCTGCATTTATGGAAGTAGCTGAAGTAGTCTTTTCGGAGAAACAAACATAATTTTTTGCTTGAAAGTAGGATAAAATTCCTCTACTTTAGTTACTTCTTTGCTACTTCCGTGCAAACAAACAGACCCCAAGTGACTATATTTCATACATTGTTTCAAGTCATTCCTATGTACAAATATAATGTATATCCAAGCCCAGTAGATTTTCATTATAAAGAATGTGTCTTAGTTTTTTGTACAATGCAAACCCAACTAAAATAGATAAGAGTTTCAACAAGGATAATGGGCAAATTAGCAACTGATTGTCGATTAATTGTCCGCTAAATTATATCACCATCCTCTCCCGAGATTTGCGTTTTCCATTTCCCCTAATTCTGGAGGTTGAAGGTTATTTATTCGTTATCTCTAAATAGGAACTATGAATATGTAGAATAATCCGGCTCCTTTGTGCAACTGGCACCTTGAAGCAGAACGCTGGAACGTGAGGTAAGCTGGGTAAAATTAAGTATAGTAGAGATTCAACGCACAGATTCAATGAAGCAACGATAAACCGTACAAAGTGGAAGATGAGCCCCTGTACACTCATTCTGATCAAGGCCTAGAATTGATCACTTGTTAGGTTCTGTAAAGAGCGCGGATTACCTCCATCTGAAGTGTTGTGGGTAAAAGGAACAACTTATTCTCCCTGCAATTCAACTAATTCCAGATTCATCGAATCACACTTTGTTGTCAGTTAATAAGAGAAGAAAGAGATCCTTTAGTTCACACACTCAACACAGTTTTTTTTTTTTTTTTTTTTTTTTGAATTTATACAGCTCAATATGGGAATTAGGACATGAAACCTGATATTAAGATAGAAAGACAAAAGGTTACAACCAGCAGAAGGAAATTCTGGGCAGATTTCATAGAAGGTAATATACCAAGGTCAAATTCCACGACACGTAAACCATAAACCAAGCAAATATCCCTCTCCATTGGATCAGGCCAACTGGTTGTTAGGCATTTTAGGGTTTTTAACTCAACCCGTACTGGATATATAATTACTTCTTCTACATGGCTCAACAAAGGACAGATTAGTTACAGGTCCAATGGGATTCAACTTACATGAATAACACCTCCAATGGCTGCCTAAGAACAATGGTCATTTACTTACCTCAAATAACTGAGGCCTAATCAACATCTACGTTTATGACAGTAACAACAACATACCCTTCATCGCAAACTTATAAGCTACAGTAATTCTTCTATTCCATCCAATGATGTAAAAAATTGTCATCCCAATTAACTACTATCATATCCTTGTTAAGGCTCTGTCTAAAGAAAGCTTAGCTCTGCCTCTAGTTGTGATTACTCCATTAACTATAATCACATATCGTTTTCCAACACACTTATTAACTATGATGCACCACCCTACATCAATCGATTCTACCTCATTTGGTCCTCAATAGAAGCAATCTCCTAATGCATATAGATTGTGTCATCTTTATATGTATCCACTTCTCCAACTAAACATTCTCATTTATGCTAATCATTTCTACTCTTATAGTCATTTACTTATTTTTTCCTTCAATCTGATTGATATTTTACGATACATAGATTCTAAACACATTCGTCTAAGCACCATACTTAGGTTCTAGCAAAAAATACTCTTCCTCAGTCTCACCATCTTGATGTATGATTAAGCGAAAATGGGCACGCTGAGGTATTTGTTAATACTAATGTGCTATATGCTCATCCCTTGTCACAATTTGCTAAATGTGATAGTATACATTCTGTTCCTAATCTACAAATTCTAGATTGCTTAGAAGCCAAAACTAAACAAACTAGACGTCGATCCGTTTGCTTCTCCTCATATCACTCTGTCAGTTGTTGTTAAGGCAAATACTGTTCTTAGTCTTAGCCACTTACTCTTATCTAAAAGTTTAGTTGCTTCTCAAGCTTGATTCCATCATAGTCTAACAATTTGTTATATCTAAAAAAAATTCTCATTTATGAATAGATTCTACATATACTTTATCCCTCCATATATAATGCCTTAAATAAAACGCACAAGCACTAATACATCACAACCCCTCACAACTTGGCCCTTAAAACGAGCTTGGATGAGGGCAACATGAGTGCCCAACTCACTCTTCACATTGCATCCCTCCTGTTTTTTAAGTCATCAATGCTGGTTTTGATGTCTTCTCTTTTAAATTGAAGGTGAGCAGCTTCTCATTAAACAGAATATGAACCGCATAGCAGCTGTTTGGCTAAAACTGTTTCAGTTCCACAGCTCCTTCATTTAAATATTAGTTAGTAATTTGTGAAATTTTAGTTTTTTTTTTTAATATCTGTTCAGGTTTGAGAAGCTCAAAATTAAGTGGATGAAAAAACAATCACATGCTTCTTTTAATGTATCTATAAAGCTTACTGGGATCGTTTGTAGGAAAAAGATACACAGAACATAGAATATGAGGAATATCTCAATTTTCTTCTTGGTCTACTCTAAATCCTCTCATTAGCATCTCTTCTTGGCAAATAGAACCACTATTTTACTGCCTCGCAATCTGGCCGTCCAATGTTTGTTGATGCAGGACAAATTAAGAGATTAGGTTTGATTCAGCTAGTAGAAGTTAAAGTTGTTAGGATTTTAAAGTTAGACTGGATTTTAGACAGACTAGGATTAGTTATATGATCTTGATTTAGATATAGAAGTGCTTATTTTGGACGAGAATTCAAGCAGTCAAATAGGATCGGACGCAGGTAATAAGTTCACACTCACGGCAAGAGTGAATTTTCCATTTAAGACATACTAACAAATTATTGGGAAGGAACATATACATTTAAACCAATCACTAACAAGCTAAATTAAGACCAATTGGGAATTTTCCATTTAATACATACTAACAAATTATAGGGAAGGAACATATACATTTAAACCAATCACTAACAAGCTAAATTAAGACCAATTGGGAAATAAGCAACCAGTTCTTTTATTTACAATGAATAATAATTTAGCGCAAGTAATACACAAAGACGTGTAGTAATCCATTTATAATTTATCTATATAATTTCGACCTGGCGTCTACACCGATACCAATCAACCTTGGATAGTATAATTATCATCAACACTACTGTTCAAATTTTCAAAACATTCAAGTAAAAACAACGGATAACAATAACAATTGTTTGATGAATTTTCTGAAGCTTAAGGAAAAAAGATGAGGTAGTGCACAAACCTAAAGCCAGGAACTTTGAGAGGCTGCAATGCATGGAAAGCATTTGCGAAAAGAACGAAAACCTGAAGTACAAGAAAACACACTCAGAACGCACATAAGGCCATGCAAAATCCACAACCAAGCTTTACCTGAAGGTTGGGACCATCAAAACCAGCATCAGGACCGCTAAGATCAATAAGGCAGTTGACTAACAATCTAAAATACGGCCTTGGATTGAAATAGGATTTCCTTTGTTCTGCATCTTTCTGGATGACTCTCACAATTGCTGAGAGAATCTGTGTAAAAAATGTCTTATTAGACAATACTCGTGAAATAAGTAAACAAGTGTACGAGAGTGTGTTATGTGATTGTGTTAGTTTGTATGTGGGTGTATATATGTATCGACAATAGAGATCGACTTTAAAACTCAACCTTGGACAGAAGAATAGTTCTACTTGATGCTTGATCAACTGAAGGGTACTACAAACAAATGAAAAAAAACAAATCATAAGTAGAAAAACACAAGGAACAGAAATAGAAATTTCCCATAAAAACAAATAAACAGAAACATGTTCCTTCATAATGAAATATAGAAATAAATGTTCCTTCATAATGAAATATAGAAATTAATGCAGAGATTTAGATAAACCCAAACTGCATCTCTCTTTTGTCATAAACAAGCATCTACCTTTAAAATTAAGACTACAAGCTTTTCATATGCATCAACTGCTGCAAATGATAAAAGCTGATATTGCTGAGTTGTTTGAAGTGTTGAAGGAGAAGTTATCTGCTCGCCAGCTAGACAATGTACAACACAAAGCTCCTGGTACAATTTTAAAATAAAATAGCATATAAAAAAACAACATACAACTGAAATATACAAGTACTACAAATAAAAGATAAAGAAGATCACCGTTAGAATATGGAAAAAACGATCTGTGGTATCGTCACCCTTCAGTAAACCATGCTGATGCAACTGTGAAATGTGATGATCATAAGCTGTATCATTTGTAGCAGGGATCTCGCACATTCGACACCACTCAGAGAAAAGATGAGTAATCTAAAACACAAGAAGAAGCCACTTAGTGAAACATCTTTAGAAACTTTTAAAATATTCTAAATGCAGGATGACGAGGACATGTCGGACAGAAAAAACCAAAATGGATGGCGGATATCAGAGATGTTTAATAAATATTGAGTGTCATTCCAGATAATGTGTGTCATTTATATTCATACTCAATGCCCAAAGAATGGAGCTGTGGAGAAAGATAAATCTTTTGTAAAATTTTTGCAAGAGAATTTGATCTCAATTGACCCCTAGATATTTGTTTGAATTTAGAACTCAGCTGAACCATAAATCAAGCTTAAAACACAAAGTTGGATTTTTCTCTAAAATATAACAGAGCCCTAGAACCGAAGTTGGTTTTCGGGATAAATCAAGCTTAAAACTGAAATCTTGGAGTTTGAATTGTGCTAAATTTGCAGAATAAGGCTTGGATTTGGATCTTTTATCATGTGATCTCTCCTCAACATCAGATATTTAAGTAGATTTTTGAATTTGATGTGTTTTTGTTCAATTGAGAGATTTGATGTGTTTGAAATTTTGAAAGGTTGCTTGAGTTAGGTTTTTTTTTTTTTTTTTTGGTTCGATGATTATGGATGTTCCTTATTCTAACTTTTGGGGACAATTGTTTGTACTCATCATAAGAAATTATCTTACAATTACAAATTCCAGTATTTTCCTATTCAACCCAAAACTTAATAAACTTGGAAAACATGAATTTTTTATGCCTAGCTTCATAAACTTCATTGATTTTCTTATCAAGAGGAGAAAGGGTAAGATAAGAGATTTAGGTTAAAATGAGGAGGAAAGAAGAAGAAGAGATATTTCTATCTTTTAACTAACAGAAGGTAAAATTTGCAACTTCTGAAAAATATAGGGTATTTTAGTGAGGCAAAATACAACTGGTGGTATCTAAGTGACACAAGTGGAAAACTATACAGTATTTAAGTGCAACTTAGCCTTTAATTAAAGATTTAGATCTCAGAACTTTTTGTTTAAGTAATATTTTATATTTTCCCCCATATTTAATGCTCAACAAAGAGTAGATATCACAAGTATAAATGTAATAAAATAAAATTTCAGGAGGCAGATCGTGTATTCACTGAAAGAATAAAGTAAACTGAATGTGGACAAGCATCCATAACTACGATATCTAAGACATGCAAATAAATCTAACAAGTCGATACAATAGACATGGAATTTATAAGTATCTTGTGCACCTACTGAGTCAATGTATCTTATGATACATGAAGTATATCTTACTATATAATTAACATCCCATGATATGGGATATGGTAAGATATGTTGAGTTGGACTTATAAGTGGATTTCAAACCCATTTACAACAGCCTTTTGGGTTTACTTATAACTTGCAGGTTTTAAAATACATCAAATCTTTTAACAAAAGAAAGCATCAAGCCCGAGATAACTATTAAGTCAATCAAAATTAACAAATGGCTTTGTTACCATTGTTTTGTAGGATCAGGGGATTCAGGGCGAAATCACTCTGAAGTAGCCAAGCCTCCGTTCTGACCGAAGTTTTTTCATTTAAATTTAATAACAGGGCACCTAAATAGAGGATCAACTGAAATTGATGTCCACTATTTATCAATGTTTTAAATGTTAGATGCCGCGTTCATGTCAGACGGCTAAAATTCATATCGGATAGCGAAAATCGGGGATATATCAGGGGACATGTACTAAATGTTGGATTGTCATATCAGATGGATATCTACTCAATTTTGGTCACCAAGATGGAACACACTTGTCTTGTTGTAACTTATCCTACTTGAATTGAGTATTCAACACCAAGACACAAGTTGTTTTCCATTTCTTGAAGGGCAACAGTGGAATATTATGACACCAAGTAAATAAAATATACATTGTCAAACAAGAACTTTCAAAGTGCCTTGCATAAAATTAACATAAAGTGAAGTGTCCTGCATAAAATTGACATGAAGTGTTAAACTTTGGATTGATTTCAAGTTACGGTTCAAACTTAATTGTTTACATCACGCTTTTATAAATTCTCAATTTCAATTTGTACAGACGAAGAGAAACGAAAGGAGATCGCGGCAAAAAAGAGAGCAGCATCTTTTTTTCGCCCTAATATGTATTCTGTGCTATCGGTTGCTATGGGAACAAAAGGCAAAAAAAGAGTCAATCGGGTTTGGGTTTTGAGTACTAAACCCAAACCCCAATACTTATCAACTCCAAAAGAAACAACTGATATGTCCACAATGTCCCCCGACATCTCCGATATAAACCTCAAAACGATTTACGACTTGAAATGGCCATATCTATCGCTCTAACCTCCAATCCGACATGTCGGCCAACATTTAAAACCATGCTATTTATAATACCTAAAAATGGAAAAGCAATGCTTACAACACATCGACACCTGACAGACCAACATGAACAATCAATCCCCCCAGCCAACCAGCCCTCCAAACCCCTCTCCGTCCTTCCTAACTAAAACTCTCTCAGACTAACCTCCTCCCCAAAAATTTCTCGGACTCGCCTCCTCTCTACACCTCTGTACACCCCAAAAAACAATGCTTAGGACATAGTGTATCCCACTTCTGTGTTCCTTCTACTTTGACATACTAGAGAGGACCTCGAAGTAATGCCTAAATGACCAGGAAACAGAAAACTAGCTTGGCCACAAATTCATTGGAAGACTTGGATTTGTAGCTCTCTTAAGACTGCTCCTAAGTCTTATCGCGTAGGACTGTTGAAGGAGCTGAGGACATTAACATGCTAAAATCATCCTTTCTCAGTGACACATAGGGCACGCACTACACATGTATCGCAAGCTCTTTTTTAGCACCAAAAGAGAAAGGGGAAAGGAAAGAAAAAAGGGAAAACAGAAAAATAGTGAATGAAACATAAAGTTGAAATCTTCCACAAGAAAATCATTTAATGAATACATAGAGCTATCTAGTAAAGAACCACATAAGTATTGATCCTTTTTTTGGATGTATTTGTATTCGCATATGGAGCTTTGGTCCAGAGATGAACATTGCATCTAAAAAGAATGGACTAAATTACATTAAATACCTGCTCACGGAAATCAGTAGGATCTGCAGCAGAAATTTCAGCAACAATATGGTCCTCTCTATTTGTCAAAGAACGACCGGAAAGGACCTGATATATATATATAGAAGAAAAATCATGATGCTTACATCAAAAAAATAGGCAGTATCCATTGTTAGGCAATAGAAAGGTAAAGTATTGGATAGTATAACCAACCTTTTTGTCCCGAGGTTGTCTTGCCTTATCTTCCTCGTTAGCTGTGTAGTCAACAAGTGATGCTGTAGTGTTTGTGTTATTTCTTGCAATTTCAATCAGCTGTCGCAATGACTCTGGTGACCCAGGCCTCAGTGCCAACTGAAAGTTCAATTTAAACCACCAGTCTCAGACTTCTTGCATATACACTAATCCAGTGTTTGAACAAAATATTACCTTTCCAAGGGCATCAATGACATTGTACAGCTCTAGCGAGTTAAAGCCAGGTTCATGAATGACCAAAGTCTGGACAAGAGAGATAGCAAATTCCGTAGCGGATTCTGAATATGAATGCAGATTAGCAAGAGTACAAATCAACCTAATAAAAGAATTAAAAAGCAATATAGAGTATAACAATGCACACCCACAATGTGACGGTTCAAAAACATATCTTACTCTACAAGAAGCTAATTAGGTTAGATAATAAAAGTACAATGTTCTTTCACATACTATTCCTCCCCCCATCTATCAGCTTTGCAAGATGAACGTTGTACTCAGCAAGGTTAAGTAATTTGTAATGGATGAGGCCAATAGTTATATCTTTATTGAACTTCCGATCTTCATCAGAATAAATCACCTACAAAATAAAGAGATAGTTGGAATAAATTTTAAAAGAAGAAAATACAGTTAAAACAGAAGAACTAAATAGACTGTTATTATCAAAATTTACAAAGTTGATGTTAGATGCTCCCTTTCAATGCAATATATACTTCAACATAGATGATGAAACCAAACCAACAATGTGCACAGTGAAGAGTAGGACATTATGTGTATGCATAGAACCCAAAAGAATTCATATAACAAAAACCCATCAGTTATTTACTGAAAAAGTTGATCATATATCTGTACCACAGAGATAGCAGCAGACACCAATCACAATAACCTACGTCATATGTTAGATACTGTAATATGTAACATTTTTGAAGTAAAGTTAAGGTGTGTTATCCTAACATTTTTATAACACGTCATTACAGTGAATACCATCTTAAGTCACACAGTAGCTCTCACGAATTAAAAGTTACCAGTTCACAGAAGGCAAGTCTTTTTAAAACATAATATGTTTGATTTGAAACTGTTATACAATTCGCAATTTTAACTTGTATAGCAACAACCACATCTACGTATCACAGCCCATTAGTATCCCATTTCTGCGACACATCCTTATAAAGTGATTATTAGAAATGATTAACATTTGAAAAATACTAGAGTTTTGCTCACAATGCTAAACCAACAAGGCTTTTGACAAAAAGAAAGATAAAGAGTCATAAGACTGCTAATGAACCTCTGATCAAGACATAGTCCTTGTACTGGAATGGTAGTCATCTCATACATCATACTTTTGGGTTTTGTGTCGCTACGGGTTAATGAGAGAAATTTAAAATAATAATTGTTCAAATGGAAAGTTACACCAAAAGATATCCACCATGCAAGTGTTAATTGAATAATTTACATTATCCATGCTAATACTCTGAGAAGCACACCAAATTGCTCTATATGAATTGATAAACAGACTTAGCTATATTGTCCTTGCCTTTGTCAGTAAAACTCTTGACTTCTATGTTTTCACTACTTCCATATGGACTACTTTAGAATAACATTTGATAAAACTATCTGACCCCCATGTCCGATTCTACTTCAAGTATTGTCTTATTTTTAAAGGAAATCAGTAACGTCTTTGATCAGGTCTAAGTCAACCATATGTTACCGTATTGATTGTTTAAAATTACAGAATAAAGGTGAGCTGGTTCCTGAAATTTTCAAATGCCAGAAAGAAAAACTATAACTATTCATTGTCAACAAAGACGGCACTGCTAATGAAAACCATACCCAGCTTGTGACTTCCTTGACAACAAGCTTGCAAACGTCTCGTATGGCAGCTAAAATTGCAAGATATGCAGCAACAAGAATACTATTTGATGCATTTTCATATAAGCTCTTGAAAACCTGTATCACAATTAAAGGATCGCAAGTGGTAAGACAAATGATAACAATATATATATACATAAACATACATATATACGTGTACACACACACACACACAATATAGAAAAATATGGCACTTGCAAATTCATGTGATGGAAGAATCATTATTTGGTATTATCAAAATATTATAAACAATGTGAAAAATATTTTTATTTTTATTTTGAAATAGTTCATTAGCCAACTTGGAAAGAGGGTAAGATGCTTTTCAGAGAAAACTATTCTTTCTTTTTGAATTTGATGTTCTCTTTTCTCCAATAAGTTTCTCATCTTTAGGATTCTCTTTACATAGTAATATAGATATTAGTAGATTTAAGTATAAAATGTTGTTTTTCAATTTTACATGCATTTATTATTACATAAAAATAAATCAACTTCTTCTTATATCTTCTAGAACCTGTAATGGATATTTAATTATGTGGCCTCTATTCTTATCATAGAAAGTTCTAGAATAAAGAAAGAGAAAAGGAAAGAGAAAAGAATGGGGACAGAAAAAAATCTTCATCAAAAAATTACGAATTTATCCTCTCAATTACAATGGCAAGAAGGAACTGTTCTCCAATCCTTCAATTATTTTATTATCCCCACTTGGTTTTCTATATAACAGTGTGTGTGTGCGCGCGCGTGCGAGTGATGCCTGTCAACTTGAATATAAATAACAAACCTTCTGAGCCACCGCCAACCCTGCCTCATCTCTGCTTACACATCTCACTATGATATCAGGCACCTCAGCAATAATTCCCTGAAAGTAAGCAGAACTCAGAAGCATGTGATAATTAACACACAATCTCAATATTCATTATCAACCGTGGAATGGAATAAAATAAACACAGATCAGAGATGTTCGTAACGATGTGTGTGTGTCTGTGTGTATTTTTCTTTTTCTTCTTATTTTCCTTTTTTCTCTCCCATTTGTGTGTGTGTGGTGGGTGGGGGTGTGGGTGTTTTTTGGTGGGTAGGGAAGTGGGGTGGGGGCTGTCTACACTCTACAGAACAATACCAGATGAGTAGCATACCTGAACTTCTGCACCTCTGGCATCTTTAAGAATCAACGTCTCAAGCTGGAAGAAGGTCATTTATACTTTTAATTCATAAAAATCACAAGAAAATTAAGAAAACTACAAAGAAAAACCAAAGTCATAGACGCGCCATGCATCATAAACATAAAATTATAAGAATTATCTAGAGATGATAAAATTCAAAATATGAAGAAAAAAAACAGAAGACAACTTAATTACCAAAACGGAAAAGAAGTCCATGACTGTGGGCAATGTTACAACAGCCAAAGCCCCAGATGAGATTCCAAGATGTGTGCAGATTGAACTATTAGTAGACTAGACATTTTGCCAAGAAAATTTCTTAAGGAAATAAAGTGGAGCAGTCCTCCCTTATTTTCTCCTAAAACATATATCACTTAAAAACTGTTCGGGCCATGATGACAATGGAAACCCACAGACCACAGTTCTAACTTTTCTATGATGAATCAGCATCAATCCTCAGAGAAGTTGATTAACTATAACAACCACAACAACAAAGCCTTTATCCCAAAAAGCTTGGAGAGAAGTTGATTAACTATAAGATACAAATTAAATCTATTACAGAAGCAGGACCTTTAGGTTGCTGCACAGTGTCATTGTTATTATTGAAATACACATACATTCTTATGATCCCGATAGCAACCACAACAACAACAAAGCATTTATCCCAAATGCTTGGACATAAGTTGATTAACTAAAAGATACAAATTAAATCTATTATAGAAGCAGGATCTTTAGGTTGCTGCACACCATCATTGTTAATTTGTTATTATTGAAATTCACAAACATTCTTATGATCCTGGTAGCAACGTCAATCCGTAGTCCAATTATCCATTTGAAGACATTTCCAAGGTAGTGGTCTTTTCTTTACCAAATAAAGGCGGGCTACTAATTTATTGTAGAGACCGCAAGTCCATAATAATGAGATTCACTTATTACTGTTTACAGCATCATGAAACAGAAAATCATTATATGAATGAAATATGAATAGGATTCATGTAACAAACCCCAAACTTTAGTATAAAGGCTTTGATGTTGATGTTGATGTTGATGTTGATCTATGAAATATCATTAAAGTGTAACTCACAAAACAGCATTGGAGAATATGGTTTAAGGAAAAGATAAATAGTAACGTGAAGGAAAGGTACTCTAGTATACTGAAGGAAATTTAAATACTATTCAACAATCAATTTATAGCAGCAACACAAAGCCAGAGCAACTTATCACCTTTAGGGCCAACTGTTGATACTTATCAAGTGCATCTCCTGTTGTCAATAATGTTTCAGATAACACAGTGCCCGTGCTTTCTGTCGCTTGAGTCATTGGAGATGGCGGAATAACTGCTCCTAGGTCCTGGAATCAGGTAAAGGTATATGTCATGGTCTGATTTCATACCTTTATTTTTCTAATTGAAACGAACAAAAGCGGCTTACTTTGGTCAGTGTGGACGCTTCATCAATATGTAATTCGGAGGATGCAACATTAGGAGGAAATGATGATGCTGGAGAACTGATTTCTGCAGCTGGCTGAATAAGCTCATCACTTGCCTCATGCATTGAGGAGATACTACATTTCCAGGGGGAAGGGAAATATATCAAATACCCAAAGATGTGTGAATGCATACATACATAGCGAGGATATAGTCATAAAGGACAAACCTATGTGGAGCAGAACCATGATCACCCTCTTCCTGCATCAGATCTAATGTTTGTGCCGAACTGAACCCTGGAGATACTTGTGAGCTTGAATAGATAATGGAGTTCACCTGGTTAGAATTGGAACCAAAGACACGAGTGAGAGAAGAATTAACCGACACACCGGCAAGGCCGGGTGGACCAGTAGGAACCACACTTGAACTCTGGCTAGACTGATTTTGCCATATGTTTCTGATAAAATCCTGCACGCAACAAATAAAAAAAAATGTGAGGTTGACCAAAATAGGCCAATTTACAAAAAGAAAAAGAAACAAGATTAGAGAAATTAAAATTTTACATCATAAACCCGTTGTTGTCCGACAGACAAACGGCCAGGTTTAGGGCGAAGTGCTTCAGGAACACGAGCAAATAACCCTTGCACAGCAGCATCATAATAAGCTGAGCCAGCTGCCTCTCTCTGTTTCCTTAAAGAAGCAAATGAAGGGCCAATCTCCCCATCAATTAACTCTACAGCCTGTTGTGAATAAAGTTAAACGTCAAAAAATAACAATCAAATATCTGACTAGGACAATACAGAACTACTCATAGCTCTATAAATAGCAGTTGGTACGGGTGGATAAATGGGTGTTTAAGCTTTTGCTTCAGACAGGAGCTTTAACCAGTGCCGTTGCATGCACATAAATGACAGTCTAACCGGAGTCCCCATTACTAAAGAGGACATTAAGAGAAATAGAACCTTTCTGCATTTGTTATCTCCAGCTGCTTCTGTTTCGTTCTCTTTCTGTTTCTACTAAAAGTTGATTCGACCATGTTTCTCATTAAGTTGAATCAGCTTAGGCATTCTGCTACTAAAATTATGTCGTTAACTAAACAATAATTACTACTCATACTGCACTCAATGCTAGTGGGTAAAACAAACCGTCAAATGACTTCAACCCATTTACTAGCAGGTTTGGATTCCTATGCCTCCACGTATAAAATAAATGGGCCGGATGACCATGATCGTACCAACTCCAAGCCATTCTCTAACCTAATAATAATTTACTAAATTTCAAAATAATGGTTATAAGGTCAATAATAGATTGGAAATAAAAGGAAATAAAACATATTTACTATATGACCATGTAATTCATTTTGTTACTATAACTATATGGACAGATATCATAGTTATTCATATTCAAGAGATTCATCATCTTCAAAATAATGAGCACAAAGTCAATAAGCCCCTCCTAAACTTACCCTACTTTTCTAAGAAATCCTTAAACTCTTATTTAAATCTATTTAAGCCCCTAAATTTTACTCTACTTTTCTAAGGAGCCATTGAACCCTTATTTCAATAAGTAAGCCTCTAAAGTTTTTACTTTCATTCTATTTACTCCCCAGTGGTTTTTAGTCTTAAAGACCACCCAAGTACTATTCAGCTAGGATAGAAATAGAATATTGTAATTTATAGACTATTTAGTCCCCAGTGGTTTTTAGTCTCAAAGACCACCCAAGTACTATTCAGGTAGGATAGAAATAGAATATTGTAATTTATAGAAAGAAAGTTCCATATTGTTTATTGGAAGAGCAAAGGAAGGTGCAAATTTTGATGGACGTTTGATGAGATTACATTTTCAATAAACAGTGACCGTAACAATCCTCTTCCTTCCAAAAAAAATTTAATAAGACCACTACACACTTCTATAGTTATGTTGAACCACCATGGAGCTATATAAATTGGGAGCAAAATAAAAACTTTAGGGGCTTAATAGATTGAATTAAGAGTTTTAAGAAAAGTACGATAAAGTTTAGGGGCTTGTTAGACTTTGAGCTTTCAAAAGAATATATTCCAATAGTATCTATATATCAAAATAATTCAGGAAACTACAAAACACACGCAATATGAATATATATGTCTTGTATAAATGCCTAAGATATTAGGTTACATACTTATATGCATATAACTAACTTAGTCCCATCAGACCTGTGCCTCAAGAACAAGTCCAGTCTAATGAAGAATGTGACCAAAATGCTTGGGTTGATCCCTACTACATAATACAGGAGTTCGGGCTCAAGCCGGTTCCACCTGGCATGGGTTCGGCCCAATTCCCAGTCTGATTTAGGGCCGATAGCCATTAAAGCACAAGTGTTAGCAGATTTATGTTTTGCTTTTAATCATGTTAGGGGCACATAAATACTAATGATTCAGAATTCAAGGGTACAAGAAGGAATTAAAATATTTCATATAATTTACCTAATTTGCTTGTCAACTATGTTTTTATATAAGAATGCTTCCAACATAATCAAGAAAAGAATCTCATTAGTAATTCAGTACTAGGGACAGTGAATTTACAACTTAAAGTAAAACAAAACAAATGTTCCTAAATCCATAATCCCAAAGTAATAAATAACTCTGTTAACCGTTCCCTCTGAATTATTCCAAACTTCCAGGATAAATTTAGGAAATGCTAACCGTTAGAATATAAAATATAACGCTCAACTCTCACCACAACTTCCGAGAATTGGTGCAATGGCAGGCTCTTTAAGATGGTACCAAAGCAACACAGGTTCAACTCCCATCGGTCATGAATTTAAAGCAGATTTTCTAAAAAATTACACCGTTGTGTAAGTCCAAGTTTTGGCCCATAAAGAAGGACGCTCAACCTGTCGGGGCATGTTAGGATATAAAAATATAACCCTCAACCCTCACCAACTTTGGAGATTTGGTACAGTGGCAGGGTTGTAAGACTAATTCCGTCATGTCATTAATTAAAAATATCATTAACAGCTATTAACATCTGGTTATTTTTAATGTTTGATTATAGAAGATTGGGCTAGCCAAGAAGTTGTTGACAAGGGGGAAATGGAAACCTTTACGACAATTGCTCCGTATTTGATTCACTCTTTTTCTTACAATAAAATGATTATAAACAATTATAAATAAATTCAAAATTGATAAGACAATAATTCCTCAAAAGGGGAGAAGAAATCAACAAGATAAATATACCAACTTCTCATGCAATCACAGATATAGGTACGTAAAATGCTTCCATAAAATAAAAATAATACTAAACCTGGAAAGAAGAATGCTATAAAAAGCAGATTACCTTATCAGAGGCAACATTTTCAATCACCGCACATCCAAGATCAAGATTATCAGTTATAAGAATCTGAATAATATGATCCATATACTCGCTATTAACGTTGGCCTGCAGTAAACTCCGGAGGTGAGTTGACAGAGCGACTCGAAGAGATTCCTGCCAAGCAAAAAAAATATAAGTTAATTTCAAAACAAATTAAGTCTAGAATAAACAAAAAATTAAAGCTGGGTTTCGAAAGAATAAAACATATCCAAAGACAAGTAATATACTGGTATGAATAGTAAGGAAATTTTCTAAAAGGAAGATGGCCACAGACAAGAGACCTTGCAAGTGACATGAGCTAAACTCCCAGCTAAAGTGGCAACCATCAAGTGAGCTGCACGAGATACAGCATTTTCATCTGACTCCATTGCGTAGTCCTGCAAATTAATTTTCTTTAGGAAGATTTCAAGCTCTATAAAACCTATAAGAAGGGCCATAAGCAAAATAACCTTTAATACAAGTTCTTTAGTTGTTCGGCTTGCTATAGTAACACTGCGTTGGATGATAGGAGCTATTATCTCTGTTACTGCCTTATCCATAGCCATTTGCATAATTCTGACATAAGATGCATTAATTAATTAGTAACAAGAAAAAACGCATTCAGGGAACAGTTTAGCAACAAAGAAGCCAAGAATATCAGAGTTTACAGTGAAGAACCTGTGAACTTGTGGTGTGCCCAATGAACTAAGCTTAGAGTTGATTTTAATATAAGATTCAGGATTAGGAATAATTGGCAAAAGCTGCAAATGACAGCATTTTGTTAGTTAGATTAGAAGAGAATGATGTTCAATGAAAACACAAAGAGAATGTTGTGAAGCGTAAGAAAAAAACCTGACTAAGAGAAAATGGTGTTTGGGATGCCGCAACTTGGGTCAATCCTTGAGCAGATGGAACGCGTTCAGGTATAATCAATGGACCAACTTTCTCATCCTCCACCATGGTAATCGGCACAGGATGTAAAGGAGAAGAATACTACATCCACAGAGGATCTAACTTAACTAATATAAATAAAACACAGCATTTGTTTAACGCATAACAATAATTCAGCTGAACACTGACCTGGGTCATGACATTTGGATGACTTGTACTATTAGTTTCAGATTGCAGATCTACTTGATTCATAGCAGGAATTATAGTTGAGTTAATTTCAGTGACAATCGGAGCTTGGGATACATTAATATCCTTGGTTGAAAAATCCGGATTGCCCTCAACTTCACGAACTCTATCTTTAAGAAGTGAAGTCGGCTTAACGTCTTTCATGTCCACACCAAGGTTTTTAAATAAGACCTATTAAAGCAGGAGATATAAGATGTTTCACAAAGATAACAATCCTATCTCAGAAGAACAAGAAAGATTGGAAAAAAGTATATACCTCAATATCAAATTTCAGATTCATTTTAAGATTCGGCAGATTATATATCTCAACGAGTAATCCAAGAATGCCCATAGTCCATGGGTTAGGTGGCCGATATGCCAAACTGCTTTGGGATGGTTCCAAAATCTGCAGTAGACATTAGGATATTAGCTTAAAATTTAACCAATTTAGAACTTTGAAGATGAACATCAAAGAAGACTCACCTTTGAGGTAAATGGAATCACTGCAATCATTAATCCCTTTTCATATGCCTAGCCATACAAATAAGAAATAACAATTACAAACAGAAGAAAAATAATTGCACATGCATTAAACACAATATTATATTTGCCAATCACCCTCTACTCGCTAAATGCTTCCAATTTAAGAATCAGATAGTGGATGCTTCATTCTATTGAATAAGATATTCTTTCTACGTTGACGGGTTTTTTTAGCCTGCAAGTGCGCTGCTTGTGTGCACTTTGCAAGCATGTTGCGTGCGCACCAAGCTTTTAAATATCAGATGTCGAGTTCATGTCAAATGGCTAAAATTCATGTCGGATAGCGAAAATCGGAGATACGTCGGGGGACGTGAAAAAATATCAGATTGCCATATTGGATGGTGTGCATATGTGTAATATAATATCATAAATGAAATCTAAAAATACTCATAAATTATATTGTCTAAACATATAAAAGAGTAAATAACTTATGATGCTTAGGATTGATATTGAAGGCAAGAGGTGAGAAAAGAGAAGCCCGATGTTGGTAGTTAAGGAGGGAGAATATCGCCTGATATTGATGTCGAAGAAACAACTCGAAAAATTGACCGATGAGATGTTGAATGAGAGAGATAAGAGGTGTAACGGAAATGACTTCAATCATTTTTTTTCCACTAACTGGTCGGGTTTTGTCTTTGGAAGTATTATTAATTCAATCTGGAATTTAAACCCAAATCTGATTAGATAAACATAATAACCAAAAAAATTACCAATTTTTTAAACTAAAAAACCGACCGACATAGCTGACGTGTCCCCAGATATATCCGGCCGACATATCCGACATGTCCCCCAATATATCCAACATGAACTATGAAAATAAAATACGCATTGAAAAGCTCCATATTATGTTTGTTTGCCCCTAAATCTGCCATGCCGGCCGACATGTCCGGCATGATGATCAACATTCATGTCGGTCAACATTTAAAGCACTGATGTGCACAATTGCGACCATTCTATTGCGCAATAGCAAGCGAGTTGTGTATTGGGATGAAGGGGCGGTAAGGGGTGATTGAAATTTTCTTCTGATTTTGCCACTGAATTAGGGAAATAGCACTAAGTTGAGGTCAAGCTCAATGACAAACAGGTAATGCTCAAGAGTCAAGACATTTGGTAGAGTTACTAACTACTATATATAAGGTGTCTGACAATGTTTTAGAAAGCACTAGGAGCTTCTAGGCTCTAGACATACTGTCTAGCACCTAGGCATGGATGCCTAAGTAGCACATAAGCATTTCTTTAGCAATAAGGAAGGGATTTTTTTCTTCAAAGATTCAAAATCCTGTCCTCACCGAAATGTACTTGAATTGGGCTCAGATCTGAGCCACTTTTACCAGACCTTTTCTCTTCACCCATTTTTATGCTTAAGCATGCAATAAACCTCTTTTTGATGTGCTAGCCCACCTAAGCAACTCATATTCACCTAGGCACTCTCAAGAACTAAGCAGGCGGCCTAGACACTGCATAAGGTATAGAACTATAGATGCGAGTGCGAGTATGTGATACGGGTGTATCTTCTCTTCGGAACTTAACGATCCTCATGGGAGCTTGAGGATAGATGATTCTCATGGTAGCTTGAGAATAGAGGTGTAAAACAGCACAGTGGAACGTAGGTTGAAGTGTGGAACGAGACGACGAATCGAAGAATCGAAGCACCCAGTTTTCAGCCCATGAGTCGACTCATAACAGTCATGAGTCGAGACGACGAATCGAAGAATCGAAGCACCCAGTTTTCAGCCCATGAGTCGACTCATAACAGTCATGAGTTGACTCACGAAACCCAACTATTTGTCACCAGTCTCTGACGAGTCGACTTATCTCAGTCACGAGTCGATTCATTGCTGGTTTTATGTTTTGTCCAGTTTCGAACGAGTCGACTCATCTCAGTCGTGAGTCGACTCATCAAAGTTTCCTAGTTCGTTTGGGTTTCTGTTTGCACGAATTCCTGATAGGTTTGGACTTGATTATTTACCACTTTGTCATACACGTTGTTACATCTATATAAGGAATTGTTTAGGGTTTCTAATCAATCAGAGGTAATCAAAGTGAGATTCTAATCAAGAAAGATTAGGGTTTAGAGAGAATTGAGAGCTTATTCTCGATTCTAGTGAGATTATGAGAGAGTGGTTGTAATCTTTTCATACTCATAATCTAGAGAGGGTGTTTTTTTTTCACCACATACTAAATTGTTCTTATGATTCTGTCATCCTCTTCTCAACCCACCTTTGATAATTCCGCGACCAAAGATGCTCGCATGATGACTCGTATCAAGTTGGTATCAGAACGATCAGATCCTGCGAAGGGGGCATCCTATGTATGATCCTGACTCGATCGCAATACAAGAAGCTAGGCGAGATCCTTATTTTATTGAAAGGAGTCCAGGTTTTAATGAAAAAGATGGCTGAAAGAGACAATTCAGCGAGGATTGATGCATTGGAGAAGCAGATCGAGACGATAGGGTTGACTCTCACACAACTCGTCAGTCTTATCCATAGATGTGACAAAGAAGGTGAATCTTCTTCAAAGTCCAAGAAGAAAATTATGGAATCCGATGCGGAGAGAGTGGATTCAGATCCCGACGAGGAGGAGACCGTTAAGGCTGTGTTGCATCAAGGGGGTAAGAATTCTTACCATAACCTGAAGATTGATTTTAATGTGGAGATTCTTGTTTATGATGGGAGTGTTGACGTCGAGAGGTTTGATGACTGGATCAAACGGATGGAGATGTATTTTATTCTTTATGGTTATTCGTCAAAAGAGAAGATTGTGTTCGCGACTTTAAAGCTTTCAGGGCACGCGTTAACGTGATGAAAATCCTATTACAAGTAGGAGAAGAAGACGGTGTTGTGAAACAAGTTCAATGAGTTACTGAGAAAGCGGTTCTACCCGGTAGGATTCCTTAAGGAGCGTTAGTACAAGTGGTACGGCTTGCGTCAAATGGTCAATCAAACCGTTTAAGAGTACACCACGGAGTCAGCAGGCAATGGTTCTTAACATTGCGACGGATGAATATTCTGTGTTTATGAAGTATATGACGGGTTTGAGTGATTACATCCAAAAAGAGATGAAGTTATTCACGATCGAGACTATTGCAGAGGCGAGCGTGAAGGCTATTGCCATTGAGGGCAAGCAGAAGGATAATGAAACTAAGGGAGACTCCAGACAGACGGAAAGCGAGTCTAGTGGTTCCAAACATAAGGAGGAGAAGGAGGGTGATCCAGGGAAAACAAAACTGATTTGTAATCACTACGAGAAGATAGGACATGTTGCTGATCGGTGCTGGGAGAAGTATCATCATCTCAAACCAAAAGGATTGAAGAAGGAGAAAAAGACATACGTGATAGCTCAAGGTCCGAAAGAAGTCCCGGGAATGACAGAGCCCAACAGCAGTCTCAATCTTATGGTAGAAAAACAGGCCACAAAAGATGACGAAAACCCCCAAAAGCAGCTCTTTGTGCTTAAGTTGTAAGTAAAGACCAGTTTGGTTGATGCCATAGTTGATCCGGGCAGCGAGAAGAATTTGATATCCGAAACCTTGATTCAGAAGCTGGTTCTGAAAACGGTCAAGTATCCGAAACCATATCCATTGGGGTGGATTCAGAAAGAGGATAGACTGAGTGTAGTTGATCAATGCACTATCAGATTTGCGCTCCATGAGTCGTACATTGACGAGATCACATGCGACGTAGTTACATTGGATGTTTGTCAGAATATATTGGGCAATCCGTACTTATGGGATAGATATACGATCTACGAGAGGCGGGTTCAAAAGTATACATTCACCAAAGACGGTAAAAAGTTCATATTTTGTTCGGCGTCTCTTTCGAGGGAGACAAGCTTGGGGACGACGACGCGAGCGAAGAGGCTAGTGAATGCAAGCAAGAAGTTTGTCTCGCTGTGCATTAGACTTCATGAAGAGCCATCAAAAAGGAGTTGCATGTTGGAGCGGAAGACGACTACGATGAGGCGAGGAACGAATGAGTCGTTTCCAGTTGTACGTCGATATCAGGTTCCTAGCAATGTCAGGTGATACAGAAAGGATGGAGGAGCTCGCGAGTTTCCTCAGCTAAAATTCTAACTTGAATGGGACTTCAAGTTCCTAAAGGGGGCACCCATGATACGGGTGTATCTTCTCTTCGGAACTTAGCGATCCTCATGGGAGCTTGAGGATAGATGATTCACATGGTAGCTTGAGAATAGAGGTGTAAAACAGCACAGTGAAACACAGGTTGAAGTGTGGAACGAGACGACGAATCGAAAAATCGAAGCACCCAGTTTTCAGCCCGTGAGTCGACTCATAACAGTCATGAGTCGACTCATCAGGTTGAGTCTACTCATGTCTGTCATGAGTCGACTCACGAAACCCAGCTGTTTGTCACAACGAGTCGACTCATCTCAGTCACGAGTCGACTCATTGTTGATTTTGTGTTTTGTCCAGTTTCGGACGAGTCGACTCATCTCGGTCGTGAGTCGGCTCATCGAAGGTTTCCTGGTTTGTTTGGGTTTCTGTTTGCACGAATTCCTGTTAGGTTTGAACTTGATTATTTACCACTTTGTCATCCACGTTGTTACACCTATATAAGGAATTGTTTAGGGTTTCTAATCAATCAGAGGTAATTAAAGTGAGATTCTAATCAAGAAAGATTAGGGTTTAGAGAGAATTAAGAGCTTATTCTCGATTCTAGTGAGATTATGAGAGAGGGATTGTAATCTTTTCATACTCATAATCTAGAAAGGGTATTTTCCTTCGCCACATACTAAATTGTTCTTATGATTCTGTCATCCTCTTTTCAACCCACCTTTGATAATTCCGCGATCAAAGGTGCTCGCACGGCGACTCGTATCAGTATGGGTACAGGACATGGTAAATTTAAGGCCAAGGAGTATCCAATAAGTGTCGGGTAAGGGTACGACACGTGTCGGGTACAGATACGGCTCCATATTAGAAATACTCTGGTAACATAGCCTAGGCGGGTGCCCTGATTGGTGCTTAGGCAGGCGCAGAGTCCGCTTTATAACACAATCTTCCTGAGTATACCTGACATGCTATTGAGTTGTTCTAAGCCAAGTTGGTTATCTATACTCAAAAGATGATTGTCACCTCCTCTTTTCTTTCCTCGCAGTTATAGCACTCCTGCAGTACTACTATAAGATCTCACATGCCACTAGGCCCTGCTCAGTGGTAAGGGCAACATGAGTTTAGTTTTACTGATGTCCCAAATTGAAGATCAAGCTATGCCCTTTGGGGGGAAAATAAAAAGGTAAGATTTAACAAGCATATGTCACAATGTAACCATAAAACAAAGGTGTAATGCAAAGATTTATGATAATTATGATAATTGTGCTTAAAATGCTATAAACAGCAAGAAGAATTCACTTTAAAATGTATTTATTAATTTATTTATATAACGCTGAGAACATGGATTATTAAGTATTGTCTTACCTCTATTATCAGTGCTTTGGGATCTATCTCTCTGGCCCTTAGCGCTTGATTTCTACCAATTGTAAATTTCCCAAGCCAGCTACCAAGATTCTTAAGCAATGATCGCTCTTCTGAACTGGATTTTATAAGTTCCGATCTCAAAAGCACCTACAAAACCTATGAGAGCTCAGGAAAAGACAAATAATCTACAACAACTTCATGAACAAAAAAAGCCCAACTTTCATCACCTTGCAATTCTCATAAGTGGCTTTAATGATTTCCATGTTTAATACTTTAGAATTGACTTTATCTAAGAATTTCAAGTATAACTCATGGAAATTTGGTTCAATGCTGGCCCTGTAGATAAGATGAATATTAGCATATAAAGTAATTAAAATAGAAAGGTAATGTTAAGAATTACAGTAGCAGCAATGTTTAGAAATGCTTATGACCTCTTCATCACCATATATTGTGCAAACCAAGAATAGTACTGCTCTTTAAGAATCTCTGTGAACTCCTTAGCCTTAGCTTCTGTATTTGCAATGGATATGTTATTGATCATGAATAATATCTTGTCTTGAACCTCTGATGCAGGAGCCTAAATTAAACACAGAAGGCAAAATAATAAATTTAACAATTAGCAATGCTGCAATAGATATCATCATACTCATGTTTTAGCCAGCCATTTTATGATAGTATTAATTCCAGACAAGTAGGAAGATAAATGATGAATTGACAGCAACTTATTCCTTTTTAATTTTGTAGTAGTGGTTGTGACTAAGAGTGGTGTGAATGTGAAATTGCGGGAGCATGAGTAGGGTCAACATACAAAAAATCATGAATAAACTTATAATAGCAAAGTGGTAACCTCTATGGGAGTGTCCCTTCTTTCAGCAGCTGCAACAAGCGTTTCAATATTCAATGCAGCCCCAAACCCTGTGCTGTAAGAAGGCTGTCGTAGCATGCCTAAAAGAAGAAAAACAAAACATAACAGGACAATAACTTCACTAAATATTATCCGAACAGGAAGAAAGAAAATTCTAGTAGTAGCAAAATATATACTGCTTTAACAACCATATAACATGTCTAGGGGGGGAAAGCATCATACATGCATTTAAGTGATATGCAACTTTCAAGTTACCTGCCGGTGCGACACCACGAGAAGGACGCAGAAAACCAGGAGATGATGATACAACAGTTGAAACATTAGTAGACTGCTGAGACGCTGGGGCTTGCAAGGGGGTTGGCTATAAAAACAAAAATGTATAAATATGTGTACACATAAATAATAAATATATGGAGAGGATCAAAACAATACTAGAAACAATAAGACAATGGTCAAAACTCTGTCTTTCTTTTGGAAGATTGTACGTTTTCATATCTGATACCAATAAAACTTAACTACCTTTGGGTTAGCAACAAGGTCAATAGGTCCAGAAACTAGAGAAGGCAGTGTGGCATGAGCTAGAAGAGGCTTTGTGATGTTGATAGACATAGCATTGTTTTTAAGCCGGTCACCAAGAAAACCTTGATGTTTCTCATGGAAAGGAGACAGTTGCTGACCAAATTGCGCAGAACTTGAATTAACAAATTGCCATGAGGTTTCTGATGCCTGCAAAACCAGTGTGCTTGAGATCTTCATTAAAGAAATTAAACTTTATTAACCTTTGACTCCAATGAAAGATAATAAAGATTCAAGAGGGCTACAGTTGCATATAAAATGAAATACAAGTGTCACATCAATAAATAGTTATTTTCAGGTAAATTTTTCGTTTTACAAGTTAGATGCATGATGGAATTCTTTTAAAAAAATAATAGTTGAGAAAGTAAATTGATATCAAGTACATCTTGTTGTTTCACTTCCATGGCCTCCTCTAAACTATCTCTAGAATTTAGAATGATAAAAAGAGAACAAGGAAAACAAAGGAAGCGACTAAGTTTTAACTGTAATATCCAAATTACTGCATCAAGCTTTTGAACATAATAGAATAAAAATAGAGAAATCATCCATCACAACATTAAAAGATTACACCAATATGCACCTCTATGCCTTCTACAGATGATGATATAGAGCCTTGCTGCTGAACAGCATGGAGACTGTTTCCTCCATTAGCTTCTGCCTGACTCGAAGATATGCGTGCCAGTGCTCGTTCAATGACAGAAACCAACTCCACATGTGTGCCACGTAAATGAGATATTTGCAATATATGATTGCAGTACTGTGGCCACTCTACTAAGCGGTCAACAAATTGTTCCAAAGCCTTGATGCCAAAAGTAAACATCTGCAAGGTCACAACTCATTAGATATATGTATTTTTAACCAATCTTAATGAGCACTCATTCAATGATCATCACGAACCTTTGAATCAACAGATTTGCGCAATGCATCAAGAACACCACGCAGAGCAAAACCCAGATTAAGATGAGTCACAAGCTGATGCTTTATAAGAGTACCTGAACGAAAGAGAAGCCAAAAAAAATGTTACATAAAAAAATAGGAAGCACCTTTCGAGAGTAAAAATATGTCGGTAAAATTCATGAATAGAAATGATGATAAAGTAAGTTTAATATAACAAGGTTGTCAGAGGAAATGATGCATTATGCATGAACTAAAGCAGACCTTACGAGTTGCTAATTAAACCTAACATTACAGTTAAGAAATTTCTTCATCTCCATGCAAGATGATTCTCATTGCCCTCAATACATCCTAGGCTCCATTCCTAAAGATATTATCTGGACATGAACTTATGGTCAAGTCTACAACAAACGTTCAACTGATTTACTATATATCTCAATGAGAGTACCCCAAAAGAACTTTGACTCCTCATTCGAAGAGAAATGAGGCTGTTCCCCTTGATAACAATGTTTGAACAAATTTGTCATTATGCAATGTTTGCACAAATAATACAATCAAAGCACTCTTTGACAAGATGCACTGTATGTCATATCACCACTTGAAGGAAGAAAAGTACACTACCTTCATAAAAAAGAAAAGGCAGCTCAAGCATTGCAGAGAACTGAGGGAAAAGGGACTAGAAACCAAAGTCACAAGTAAACTTATGCAGAAACCCAAAGTCCGGTTATGCAGAAACCCAAAGTCCAGTGACCAAAAAAAAAAAGCTTAATTCAAGAAGTGAAGTCTAGTGCATAATCAAAAATAATGAGTTAACAAAAACATCAAACATGGAGAACCAAAAGCTTTATACATCGAGCAAAGTTACAATATGGTATAAATTAAACTGTTTTAGTGATTTGGGAGTACATGTAAATAAGTGAAAAAAAATGGTCGCAGTGAATAATAGGACAATAAGTACAATAATGTAATGATTTAGTCTCTTGACAATATTCAAGGAAAAGAAATAGGAAAAATCAAATCAGCTTTTAGGTACTTAAATTTCTAATGCACAAGGGTGTTCAAAGAAAAACATCATAGTAGAGAATTAAAGATTGTATTGGATTCAAGCAAACTATTTAACCCAGTATGGATTAGTCTATTTCTGAAATAAATAAATAAATTTAATTATGGCTTCTCTTAAAGGTTGGAAACAGTGAGATAAAAAATTTTGGACTACAACCCTCTGGGAGCCAATCAGTAGAATAACCTTCATACAATATGATAGATCCATAACATGTATCTAGTTCATTCAGAGAATGACGAACAAAACATCGTGAACTGCAGTGGAGATTAAACTGTGTCTTAGATGCAAGCAAGAACATGTTTTGAGGCTCAAGGAAGTAGGATGCAACAAACTCTTTGACAACTGAAGTATAAGCACGAAGAATGACATGCATTTAATAAAGAAAAAAATGTAACAGTAGGTTAAAGAAAAAAGGTGAAATTATGCCCTTTAATCAAATGAAAATGGATGTTAAAAGTGAGGGAAGAGGTAAACGAACAATAAAAGTAAACAGATTACCGACAAAAAAAGGATAAAAGCAAACAGATTGACTAGCTGACCATAGCTTGATTATCAGTAATATTCAGAAAAGATCACAAACATGATATTGTTCTGATAAATTCTCACCAAAGAGAATAGCAGCTAACTTCAGTTGTCTATCTGGATATTTGGGAAAGAACCTATATTCTTCAAACAGATTGGCAATCATGCAGTCGAAGATCAACCGCTCCCTGTAGACAGATTAAACAAGTAAAACAAGAAATCTATTTGAGTAAACCCAGTAAAACAACAAAACAGAATGCATGAAACACAATGGCTGACTTAACCTGCTAGAAACTCTTCCTCGACATTACTATACAAGATTAGAAGTCATGTTAAGTTCAAAAACTTACACGTACAGGTGGAAAGCTATGGAGTTGGAAGAGGTTGAGAGCATTTAACAAAAAAAGTCATACAGTTTGGATATGATTGATGTTTGTTGAATCTAATTTTAACCAGACAGTAGAACTTTAAGCTCATTGAAACAATCAATGTGCACAAATAGCCCAAAGCTTAACTCTTCCATCTCATTTAAAAAAAAAATTAACCAAAAGGTCCTCCTATTGTGTAACGGAGAAAGCAGCCCACTCAGCCTTTTGTTAAATAAGTAACAATATCTGCCTAAACCTAGCCACTGAACTTCCATATCATAAGGAATATCCATCTAATAGTTTCATGAAATAAACAATGTCATTATTCTACATCATGACTTGATGCATCTACTATTTTGCGTTAAATGCCACTCATGATACCAAAAGACCTCCTACATGCAAAAGACCCACAGGCCACAACTGGGAGTGGAAACGGACTGAATACGTGAATACCGCAGTAATTGTATTCATATTCGACTATTTGAATTTGTATTCATATTTGAAACGAATAGGAAATGTGTATTCGAATTTGATTCGATTAGATCAGTATTCGAATATTCGACTAGATTAGTATTCGGATTTCGACAACTATTCGCAAAAAATCGTTAACAGTTCTTATGTAGTCTTTTGTGAATTATTCGGTTCATATTAGGTAGATATTTGGTAAACATTAGATAAATATTCGTTATTCTATATTGGTCTTATAACGCAGCCAAACATGATACAAGCAATGAATAAGCAACCTAGTGCTAAACATAATATTCACAGATAAATCCCCAAATGTGTGCTCATGACAAATAAATCCCTAAATTACAAGATAGAAATGAAGTAGGATTATGAATATAATGCAAAGACAGGAATAAGGATTACCAATTAGTCGCATGTTTGCTCATAACAAAAGATAAATTCAGACTTCCAAAGGAAGAATATGGAACGTTAGCTCATAACAAAAGATAAATTCAGACTTCCAAAGGAAGAATATGGAACGTTATCTCTAGAAAGGGAAGATTCTTTTGATAAAATCTTAATTCAAAAAATACAGACTAGTCGCATAAGTTCTGACACTTATGATTCTCATTGCAACAATAAATAAGGCCCTGGTTCAATTACCTTTGATACCAAAAACACAGACTGGTCGTCTAAGATACACTTATATTCTAACTACAATGTAAAATAAGCCCCTGATTAAATTAGATTTGATAAGAGGGGGAAGAAAGCTATAATATCCAAAAAGGCATTTTGATACAACTGGAGACCTTAGCACTTTTGATTCTCAAAAATATCAGACCAAAGTCTTGAACAGAAAGTTGTAAATCTTAATAATATATTGGTTTCAGAAGCAAGAGCTAAATCTTTGGAGCTACTGAAAATGACAATGATTCAAATATATAATGCCTTCGTTAGCAAATTTCACATGAGTTAAGAAAATCCAAATTGGTATTCCTAATTTTTAACATGGGGTTTCGGGCATCATCCACCATCAGTTATTTCATAATTTCATTAATTATATCACTAAAAGATCTAACTATTACATAGTTAAATGAAATGAATGAATGGCTATTTTGTATCTTGCTTGCTTTCTAGTTACTTATGACCTAAATTGGATAAGCCGTTTAGCACATCTCCAAATTATTTATATGTAGGGAGGCGTAGCAACGGATAAGAGTAACTCCATTTAGGCAAATTAGGTAAACGTAACTCACCGTTTATCTAAATAGACAGGGCAAGGTAAAGTTCTCTTACCCAATAAGAGTAACATGTTTATACCAACCCATAAAGTATTTAATACTACACTGCCCATTATTTGGCATCCCTTCCCTTCTGAAGGCGACTCATATTTAATAGTTATCCAATATTGCGATTAAACTAGAGAAAATATTAAGATGACTCTCATGTAGTGTATGCTTGTCTGAGAACTAATAATTTGTAATGGAAAACTTACAATATACTTGACTCTCATGTAGTGTATGCATGTCTGAGAACTAATAATTTGTAATGGAAAACTTACAATATACTTTGTCGCATTAAGGAACAAGCAATTTACTTAAAGACCGTGTAATTTTAAATGTTTACCTGCTCTACGCAATTACCATACAGGATAAAGAATTTATCCACTTCACGTTAGGTAGGGGAATCATAACTTTTAGTTATCCATTAGGGTCAAGGATAGAGCATATAGAATTTAACTTAAGATTAACAGACGGCCCTCACTCCACTTTTACCTGTCGCCAACCCTACATGTATACAAAAGATATGAACGCAACAATATGGAAATATCATGAATGGTCCAGAACATAACTACAAGGATATGCCACGCAAGTGACAAATTTTTCAATCTCAACAGTAGTATGACGAGTCAAAGAAAACTCAGATAAAATATTTGCACCATGTTTTGAACAACCACACTTGCTAGATACTAGTCATGCGAATGTGACAGATAGCCTAATATTTTTATCTTGACTAATGACACTCATGAAGGCCTAGAAGACCTAAAACTTGAGGTTGCACACCAAGTGATTGAGGCGTATGCCAAGATTGTCAAAAGATAACAGGATCCCAAATAGGTGGGACAACAATGTGACAGTTAATAAGCAATTGATGTTGTCTATAACCTTCACTGTAATCCTCGTGACAAAGAGTAAGTATCCTAGCAAGTTTCATAAATTATAGGACTTACGCCTAACACGAAGTTGATGCGAGGGATATTGGAAAATAAATGAGCATGAGGAATTTACATTCCATTCTATATCGATATACCTATTTTCGGAAGATTCTTTGAAACGAGCAAGCATTTCAACTATTGCATCAACAGTCAACTGTCCAGAAAACATCTGATGGAAATAAGAATTTGCCTCTGCTTCAATATCATCTTGGCTTCCTTCTGATGTTGACGAATTTGTTCCCCCGGGACTTTGAATTTTTGCATCGAACAAGGTACGTAGCCTCTTAAATTCTTCCATAAGCTTCTGAGAAACAATTTGCCCAGAGTTGGCTTGAAGAATCTGCAATATGAAATAATTGAAGCAATTTAGTTATCAAAAACAATGGAACTATGTGGTGCGCACATGCACGACTGCACATGTGCATTTGCTCATGCAAATAAACATAGATAGATATAGCACTTAAGAACCCTAATACCGGTTTTTTCTTCTATCCTGAATATTGTAGCGAGGTTTTAAAAAATCATATATCAGGGAATTATCCCACGGCCAAAATCCATATTGGATTGCGGATATCGGGGAAATATCAAGGTCGTGTAGTAAATTGGAGTGCCATGTTGGATGGTGTACATATATTAAAATGTAATATAAACATAATGAAATCTAAGCATATAAAATGTAAATAATAACATAATATATATTTAGGAATGTATGCATATAAAATATAAATAATATATTTCGGATCACTGATCACAAAAAACTTATTTAGGGATAAGGAGCCTGCTACAATTTTTCTAAAAAATTTCAAAGCGCTGGAGTTTTTGCTAACATTAAAGAAATTTTGCTATATTGTTTCGTGGCAAGAGATATAAAGGACAGATCAGCTGATATATAGGTCATGTTGAGGATATGTTATCCAAAATTAACAAACAGCAGTAAAGGATATTTAGGTCGGGTCGTTTTGCACCAACCCTTGTAAAAGGATACATCGGCCAACATATATCTAATAAAAACCAATTAAAATTTATGAACACATATCTAATAAAAATTAACTTATTTAAAAATTTTGCATAACACCTTTTTCCAAAGAACACACAAATCACGATTGGTAACAGATCATATCGATATCTCAATTTTAGAAAGATAATTTCTTAAATTTTGAGAAAGTAATAGTTGATGTTGACATAGGCTACACAATCTAGTAACCCAAGAGATCACTCTCCATAAAACCGCTACAGATGCTCAAACAGGTAGCAAAATATAGATATGACTATGTGTGCACACATAGACACCTGCACATATGTTTATATAAATAGAACCAAACACATACATATATAAAAGTGAAAACATATTGTGAAAATACTCCAAAAGTGATTCTTAAGATGGCTAAAGTGTCAAGACAAAATCACACTATTGACTAGCCTAATCAAAATTGTTCCTAGTGAGTGCAAAGGGGATCATACGCTGTTAATACTTCACGATCATGCATTGATATAGATAGACCTATGTATGAATATATGTGTCATCTTTACATACTTCTCTTTATGCAATCATGATAAGAACACAGATAAATAGGCCTATCACCTATATATATGTCTGGATATGGAAAAGAGGATCAGCAATGATAATGCACGTAGCAGTGTAAAATGAAACAAGAGTGTACGTGCGATGAAGCTGACACGGCACCCTTCCCACCACGTATGTAGTGGCGGTCAACAATGCAACACTAGCTTCACTGAAGGTCTCTACCTTGCAATGAAAATTGGAGATCCATATACGCATGTTTGTGTTTCAGTGATAATGTGTACTTGACCCAAAATTTTGGAATAAAGAGTGTTCTGTTGTTGTTTTAAATAACAAATAGAAACCTATCATGCTATCAACAAAACAAACCTTGAAGAATAGAGGGCAAGCTTCTTGATATGCCTTCCAGATAGCAACATGTGATTGCTGTAGAGAACTATGGGGCACATCATTTACAGCATCAGAAAATATTTCATCCAAAAAAGCAAGGCAATCCTATAAAGAAGAAAATCAATTGTTTATTATTGGATACACCATTGCAGACAAGTTGGATAGCAGTTGCACAAAATCTGTTACAGAAAAAATTTAGAAAAAAAAACATAATACCTCAAAAAAAGTATCTTTGTACATATTCAAGTTTTCATTCACCCACTTCTCAAGATGAACTTGCTCCTTCCTATACGCAACAGCAGCCAATCTAAGACTGACATGAAATGGAGCTGAATCCAACACTCGAGACAAAATCTGTTAGATGAACAAGGAGAACAATAAATGAATAAAATAAACACAAGGTTACCTATAGAATATAGATGGGTAAAGCATACACATAAGCACATGCCATTTGGAGTGATTAAGTAAAAATGATCAGTTGACACATTTTAAGGAGTGATTAAGTAAAAATGATCAGTTGACACATTTTAAGCTTAATCCTACCAATTAAATGTGACACGTTGGTATACCTAAGCTTTCCAGTTTCCACCCTTTAAAGGCATAACATCAACCTACATATAATTTAAAACTTTGAACTTTTTTTTTACCACACAAGACATAAAGAACGGAAGTTGGTCAAATATGATTTGAACTTCTTTAAAGATATTATGAAACAACACAGAAAAATCAGCATTATAAGATAACAAGTCAAATAATCCATTTTGTCAAATAAATATCCAAACCATTGGAAACAACCTAAAAGTCTTAAAATGACGGGTAACAATTTTCAGCATGCCAAAGACCTCTGCCATTTACAGCCGTGTTAAACATGAGAACTCCAAAAAGTTGGGTTTACCTATGTCGAAGCACTTGGAATAGTAAAAATTGTAATTGAGAAACAAATTTCCATTCATGTTTCAAAAACATCTGACTTGCACTTAGAATATCTGAGGTCAGATCCCAGGACAATGCTGAACATAATCCACAAATGAGAGGCATATATGAATCTATGACCGTTAAATAGTCCCTTACAGTTATGGACTCAAATAGAAGTGCAAGGCATGATGGTTGAGTTATGTTTATGTAAATGTTTGTGCATATAAGCAAGAATGCACAACATGTACAAACAGCAGTAACCATCGCGTTCATCCAGATTATGCGTGTGTATGCCTGCATACTTGCACCATAAAATCTTTGGTGAATGACAACATACTGTGGGTAGAATGGGAACTCCGTGCTACAAAGCGTGAGAATTGCATACATGTCATGATAGCACAGGAAGTAAGATAATGAAATATAATATAGAATAGTTTAACTGATGAAGAGAACTTAAAAAGAATGAAGCAAACAGTATAGAGAAATAAGAGAAATCAGGAGAATAGCATATTTGTCAAGGATCATGTATCTTCAAGAATAAATAGAAATTGATTCATCGAATCTAAAGCCATGACAACAGATGAGTGATAACAAGGTATGGCATATGCACTGACAAGACAGCCATGACAACATATGAACTACTAACAAATTTAAGCCATAAGACTTCTTCAACAGTGGTATGAGCAAAAGAGTCACAGGGCTATAGAAAATAAGCTTTGTGCAGTAACTACTCAAAAAGTTTGGACCAAATGAATAGAAAGTTAGGACGTAAGTCTTCATAGGAATATGCTAATGAGGAAAAATATGTATGGCACCATAAATGGGTCACTGATATGAACTCTCCAAAAGATATACCTTCAGTTCCTGACAAATGTCAAGAATTCTAAAAATGCTGTTAGGATCTGTTCGAGCATCTGAAAATCCTCGCAAGAGCAAGCTAGGATTAACTTTCCATAAATGATGGAGAATGCTGTTCTTCATAGGATCATTTAAAAAAATAGGGAAAACAGCGGAAGATACTTCGTACTGGAGGAGATTGTAGGCAGACTGGCAAAAACAAATGAATCAAGTTTTTTTTATCAGCATCAACTGGAGTGCAAAGGTAAAATGGAGAAACAAAACTGAAACCCAAGGAAAAAAGGATCACATACATTAATCTGAGCAACTCCAAGAAGTAAAACATCGGGAAATTGATTAAGAGGGTGCTCAATAATTAACCGGACAGAGCTTGCATGACCACTCTCAGCTAATTGGCATAATACATCCAAAAGGTCTAGGCAGGACCATGCCTGATTACCAACTCCATTAGAAAGATTAGCTGAATCTGTGTATGTCTGAGAAAACAGTCAAACATTAGCCAGATGTAGCAGAAAAAGTAAATTATATGGCACTTAAACAAAAATTACCAGGTGTCTTGAACAATGTGCAAATGTAAATACATCAGGTGGTGCAGACACAGCATGTCTCAGAAAAGATAATTGCCCCTCTGCATTCTGCCAGACTGAACCACAAATAGCATGGAGGGGAAAAGGGGCCTGGATAGTTGGTGTTGGTCAAGTCAAAGAGGAACATGCTAATACTTATATACTATTCAGAGTAAATTGAGGAATTTAAAGATACCTCACAAGCTTTATTGTATATAGACATCAGAAGAGAAAATGATGTTTCGTCGGGAATGTTGAAACCTTCATGATCAAGATTTTCCATAACACAAGTCCAATCTGTTTTAGGAGCCTGCATGTAAAACATCAATTAAAAATGAGCTACTAATCTTCACAAGCCCTAGCATGCTTGAACATTAAATAGTGGAGGGGAAATATAACAGACGGGATCCCTCACCAGCTGCTTAATCGAATCTACAAGGACATCAACATTCCAAGTGTTTAATGATGATGGATCAACAGTTGCACTGCCACCAAATGCTGAGTAGAATGATGAATGAATATTTTGAGCATCATTGAGACCAACATGAGAGCGAGCAATCGTGCCAAGTAACTTAGAAAGTGTAACTTCGTTGAGAGGCAGGAAAAGAGAGAGTATTTCTTTACAGTGTGAAGCATTAACTGTACAGCCATAGCCTAATTCTTTCAAGATGTCAGCCATACTCATCTCCTCCTCTATCTCTGCTAGAACAGCCTCGAAATCACTATTCGCTCCCTCATAGAATAGTTCGAGTTGCCTACAATAAATATATGAAGTTATAATCATTTTCTCACACAATATAGGCAATACATATCAAAATAACCAAGAGAAGAAGCATTATAGTAAGCCCTTCTTAACTAATAGAGGTGTACCTCGACGAATTGATAGAGGATATATCATCTGCAAGCACTGGAGCTTGTGCAAACAAAGAGCTGCCATTACGCGGTACTAAGGATAAGATTTTGGTAAAAGAATCCACGTGCTTCGAAAGACCCTCACTCCGACAGAGGAACAGAACAATATCTTGAATATGTTCATTTGATACAATCAAGTTTGAACTCACAGTCAAGTCCTCGATCTGAGAAATGCAGAAATTGTGCCCTGATAAAAACAATAATGATTAAGCAAACTTAAACAATAGTACATGAACAACATACGTTAAATTTAATGCCCAAGCTGCATACTACAGCTTTAAGGTTACCTTTAGTTCTGAAGTCCAGGTCTTCAGATTCTGACAAAGCGAGCCCAACAGCAATTTTCTGCTCTATTGACAGGTTTAGTGTCTTCGAAAGTTCTTCCAGAAACTCTCCATTCATCAATGAACCTCGTAAAGCTAAGCAAAGTACAGTACAAAAGTTTGGCTTGTCTAGTAAATACTTAAAAACGGAGGACACAATCTCATGCTTCATCTGTGAACCCGTAACATCTTGCTCCTTTAAATTTAATTGATCCAAACAAGTTCCGAGCAACAAAATACTTCCTTCAATTCCATAATCAACAAACTGCAAAAAAATAAAAAAATAAAAAATTTTGAGACTGCTAAGAAAAATAAACAAGTAAGAATCAAAATATTAACTTGATACAATGTTGAATAAATTTCAAAGGCTACAAGGTACATCAAAAAAATTCAATCTACATGAAAAAAAATGAAATCAAGTCGTAATTCATGATTTTGGAGGTACAACCTAAATTAACAATATAGAAACTAAAATTAAATCAAGTCGTAATTCATGCTTTTAGAGGTATGCCCTAAATTCACAAAATAGACACGAAGATAATAGAACTTAGCACAGAAAAATAACCAACAAAATCATAAAAACAGAAAACTGAAGGAATGAGAACCTGGCACAACTCGCGAAAGATCGAATCGGAGTTAGAATCGCTGGCGCTGTGCAGCAGGAAGCGGATCTGGCTCGGGAGAGTTGAAGATAAGGGGATCATGGCGATGACGGGGGGAGAGAAAGAGCTAGGGTTTCGATTTTTTTGAGAGAGAATGAAAAGGAAAAGGGGAATTAGGGTTTAGAGAAAATTGGTTATCGATGCGGGCTTGAAGAGGCTTCGACGTTCGCGTTCGCAAGAAGTAGAGATCAATCAGAGAGCCCCCGTCATAAAGTGAGGTGTTCTGTTCTGATTTTATATTATTATTATTATTATATTCTTGTGGCTTGTTTGGACGGAGGGGAGAGGGAAAGGGAAAGTGAAATGTAATTTTAGAAGTTGCATTTAGTAAAGTAAATGAGCGGAATGATGAGGTATTTGTGTCAAAATGTTATACATCAAATTGGGGGTAATGAAGGGGAATGTCCTTTCCCTTCCTTCCCTTCTCTAAGGACTTGTTTGGATTGAGGGGAATGAGGGTGAAGGGAAGTTAGGGGAACCATTCACCTCCATTCACCTTGTTTGAGAACACTTAGGAGGTGAAGTTAATTCACCATAGTTCCCCTTGGGCATGTTTGGATTCGTAGGGGGTGAAGGGAAGTTAAGGGAAACTGAGTGAAGGGAAGGGAAGGGAAAGGAAGGGAAGGGAAGGGAATTCTCTTCCCCTTGGTTACACCCCAATTTGGGGGGTAACAATTTTTATACTATTAGGGGGTGAACCAAGGTGAATGAAGGTGAATTAACTTCACCTCCTAAGTGTTCCCAAACAAGGTGAATGGAGGTGAATGGTTCCCCTAACTTTCCTTCACCCCCATTCCCCTCAATCCAAACAAGCCCTAATAGTATAAAAATTGTTACCCCCAAATTGGGGTGTAACCAAGGGGAAGGGAATTCTCTTCCCTTCCCTTCCTTTCCCTTCCCTTTCCTTCACTCAGTTTCCCTTAGGGCCTGTTTGGATTCGTAGGGGGTGAAGGGAAGTTAAGGGAAACTGAGTGAAGGGAAGGAAAGGGAAGGGAAGGGAATTCCCTTCCCATTGGTTACACCCCAATTTGGGGGGTAACAATTTTTATACTATTAGGGGGTGAACCAAGGTGAATGGAGGTGAATTAACTTCACCTCCTAAGTGTTCCCAAACAAGGTGAATGGAGGTGAATGGTTCCCCTAACTTCCCTTCACCCTCATTCCCCTCAATCCAAACAAGCCCTTAACTTCCCTTCACCCCCTATGAATCCAAACAAGCCCTAAGTAAACTTCATTATACAAATGATTAATTATGTTTTGCTAGGACTCTATATATTAGTAGTATAACAATATAATATTTGTACAGTTTATTTTAGGGGAAAATTATGTCTAGGCCCCAAAACAATAAAGGGGATGACCCCCCCCCCCCCCTATTTTTTTTTGTGTGACAAAGCCCCTATTACATAAAGCAATTATTTTCAGGCCCCGTTTAAAGTTCCAAGGCAGCATAAAGACAATATGTTTTGGGAATTCCAAAACTACCCTCCTCTCTCTTCTCTCCTCTCTTCTCAAGCTCAAAGCCCAGCCACCTTGAGAACCCAACTTCAAAACCCTAGTTTTCAGTCCATTAAAGCTCAGTCATCTTCTCGAAAATAAAGGTGGGACGCGGGAGGCGGAGCTAGGAGGCGGGGTGGGATGTGCTCAGTCAAATATTGATGCTTAAGCTCATGCTAATGGCTGCATCTTTTCTTTTCTGATGCTCTTCACAGAGCTTGTAGGTTCTTCCTTTTGTTAGAAATATTACGAGAAGTTACAAGGAGTTGTGTGCGATCATTAATGTTCATATGAATGCAATGCAAAATTTTAAGATCAAATATTTGTTTGGGTTTTTGGTTAGGGGGTTGAGGAGGTTGGGGGACGAGGAGGGGGCGAAGATCGTCGAGAGGGATTATGAGGAGTGGGATGTTCATGGGAAGTGGGGGGAGGTTGAGGAGGGGGAGGAGGAGATGGGGGTTGTAGGTGTTTGATGAAATGCCCAAGTAACTCAGTTTTTTCATTTGTTTTTTTTCCAGGAGTTGGACACGATATTACATCTTACGCCGCCACCAGAACAAAAGTATCAGCTGCGAAGATCAAGCTCTGCTTCTTTCTAAAGAATGCATGTATACTAAATTGCGTAGATTTACATGGAGATTGGAGTGGTTTTTGTAATATATTTGTATAAGAAAACATGTCTGAACTTGTAAAAACTTATGATATGTTAGCTATTTTATGTGGTTGTATTCGAAACTGAGTAGGAGAATGACCCATAATTGTGGGCTTGAACGATTTACATATGTTTAACTTTCATCATTATATGTTAACTCTTCTTGTAATATGTTAACTTTCAGTTGAACATGTTAACTTTCATCATAATATGTTAACTTTCACTGTTACATGTTAACTTTCTTCATAACAAGTTTTTTAAACTAAAATTCGATGTGTTTGAAAGACTAAAAGTCGCTCAAGATGATCTTTAAGTTTTTACATATCATAAGTTTTTATAAGTTCAGACATGTTTTCTTATACAAATATATTATAAAAACCACTCCAATCTCCATGTAAATCTACGCAATTTAGTATACATGCATTCTTTAGAAAGAAGCTGAGCTTGATCTTCGCAGCTGATACTTTTGTTCTGGTGGCGGCGCAGGATGTAATATCGTGTCCAACTCCTGGGAAAAAAAAACAAATGAAAAAACTGAGTTACTTGGGCATTTCATCAAACACCTACAACCCCCATCTCCTCATCCCCCTCCTCAACCTCCCCCACTTCCCATGAACATCCCACTCCTCATAATCCCTCTCGAAGATCTTCGCCCCCTCCTCGTCCCCCAACCTCCTCAACCCCCTAACCAAAAACCCAAACAAATATTTGATCTTGAAATTTTGCATTGCATTCATATGAATATTAATGCTTGCACGCAACTCCTTGTAACTTCTCATAATGTTTCTAACAAAAGGAAGAACCTACAAGCTCTGTGAAGAGCATCAGAAAAGAAAAGATTGCTTTATGTAGTAGGTTCAGCTGAAAGTTAACATGTTACGAAGAAAGTTAACATATTATGGTGAACGTTAACATGTTACGAAGAAAGTTAACATATTATGATGAAAGTTAAACATATGTAAATCGTTCAAGCCCACAATTATGGGTCATTCTCCTACTCAGTTTCGAATACAACCACATAAAATAGCTAACATATCATAAGTTTTTACAAGTTCAGACATGTTTTCTTAAACAAATATATTACAAAAACCACTCCAATCTCCATGTAAATCTACGCAATTTAGTATACATGCATTCTTTAGAAAGAAGCTGAGCTTGATCTTCGCAGCTGATACTTTTGTTCTGGTGGCGGCGCATGATGTAATATCGTGTCCAACTCCTGGAAAAAAAACAAATGAAAAAACTGAGTTACTTGGGCATTTCATCAAACACCTACAACCCCCATCTCCTCCTCCCCCTCCTCAACCTCCCCCCACTTCCCATGAACATCCCACTCCTCATAATCCCTCTCGACGATCTTCGCCCCCTCCTCGTCCCCCAACCTCCTCAACCCCCTAACCAAAAACCCAAACAAATATTTGATCTTAAAATTTTGCATCGCATTCATATGAACATTAATGCTCGCACGCAACTCCTTGTAACTCCTCGTAATGTTTCTAACAAAAGGAAGAACCTACAAGCTCTGTGAAGAGCATCAGAAAAGAAAAGATGCAGTCATTAGCATGAGCTTAAGCATCAATATTTGACTGAGCACATCCCACCCCGCCTCCTAGCTCCGCCTCCCGCGTCCCACCTTTATTTTCGAGAAGATGACTGAGCTTTAATGGACTGAAAACTCGGGTTTTGAAGTTGGGTTCTCAAGGTGGCTGAGCTTTGAGCTTGAGAAGAGAGAAGAGAGAAGAGAGAAGAGGGTAGTTTTGGAATTCCCAAAACATATTGTCTTTATGCTGCCTTGGAACTTTAAATGGGGCGTGAAAATAATTGCTTTATGTAATAGGGGCTTTGTCACACAAAAAATAATATGAGGGGGCTGGTCTCATCCCCTTTATTGTTTTGGGGCCTAGACATAATTTTCCCTTATTTTAGATAGGCTAAATTGCACTTAAATGCCATAAAGTTTCACTACTATTGCACTTTAATACAGGTAGTTATAAAAAGTATTGCATTTAAATGTCCTAAAGTTTCACATTGTTGCACTTTAATGCCCTCAGTTGTGAACTTTGCACTTAAATCTAAAGTTCATCACATTTGCACTTAAATGCTCTAATGTTTCTAAACATTGCACTTAAGTCCCCTAAGAGGGGATTAGTCAAGTAGAGCTCAAAACTAGAAATGAGATAATCTATGGGACAATTTTTTACAGTGTAAGGGCATGTTTGACAACCAAATGCAAAACCAGACCGACTGGGTATTCTCCCTTAACCAGACTAAGATTAAACCAAGGGGCTAGTCCCACTCTAGCCTAGTTTAAGGGCCAAAAAATAAACTAAAAAGGGGGCTAAAGTTGACTCAGTTTTTTCCCAAACAAAAAACAATCCAAAACTAGGCCAGGACTAAACCTAACCTAGTTTTAAAGGTCTGCCAAATAGGCCCTTAGTTAATTGGAACTAGAACTAGGACAAAATTGTATAGTGTTAGTCAACTAGAACTAAATAAGAAGTAGAACTATGATAATTATAAAAAAGTATCCCGCATTTGTTAATTTTTTATTATTATATAAAAAAAGAGAGTTCTAGTCTCTCAATTTGACCCAAATTTTCAACTAGAACTAGATGGTAAAAAAATTAGAACTTTCTTATTTGCTTTCTTATTTTTCATATTTCATTTCTCCATTATCTTCAAACCACACCATAAGATTAGATCTCATCTCTTCTTACATTTCTACTTTATTATATTTATTTTTTAACTAAATATTAGAATTTTATAATTAATTTAAATTTATAATTTATAATTTTCATATTTTATTAAATTAATTAAATTTGAGAGATAACTGGATAATGTCTAGAAGATCGAAAATGAAACAAAATAAAGGAAAAACTTCATTTTTAAGTTGCATTACAAAAATAATTCTAGAAAATTTAAAAATATAAATAATAATAATATCTTATAGTTTATCCAATAGTTCTTCGAAATTAATTAACACTAAAGTAAATCATTATTATTAGTAGTAGTAAATTTTAAAATATATAAATAGTAGTCTTTTCATCAAAATGCATAACTTATATAC